ACCACAACCTTTAGAGTGTCCCAAATGGCCTAACTTGTTAAGCTAAGTGCCTTAAACCTGGAAGTCCGGGTTTGAATCTCAGTTTTACTTTTTCTTTTTTTATTTTACTCAATTTTTTTCTCCTGGAAAGAAATAAACGCCCGGGCTTTTATTTGAACATTTACGGTACATCCTTTTAGCTTTTAATGTAATAAGGTGAACTTATCCTTATGTAATCTGATATACCACCTTATAGTAACTAATACACACATACCACAAGTACATGTATATGCATTAGTATAGGTATGTACATTAGTATAAGGTATATTAGTACATAAGGTATGTACATTAGTATAAGGTATATTAGTACATAAGGTATGTACATTAGTATAAGGTATATTAGTACATAAGGTATGTACATTAGTATAAGGTATATTAGTACATAAGGTATGTACATTAGTATAAGGTATATTAGTACATAAGGTATGTACATTAGTATAAGGTATATTAGTACATAAGGTATGTACATTAGTATAAGGTATATTAGTACATAAGGTATGTACATTAGTAATTAAGGTTCATGTTGTTATATTCAATAGGTGTTAGTTGATGAATCAGCTCATAAGCCAGTGTATGCTGATCTGGCTATTGCTGCTAAAGGGAAGAGACTACAGGCAGCACCAACACAAGAACAACCAGTGGTATATGCATCAGTTAACAACAAAGTAATCATAATGTACATGTACATGTAATGGTATCTTATACATCCTCTCCCTCTCTCTCCTCTAGTCTGTTCCTCCTCCCATTCCTCCTCCAGCTGCTCCTCATAAAGTATTGTATGCTGATCTATCAATAGCAGCTGGTAAGAGAACACCAAAGAATAAACCACCCACTGAGGAAAGAGTAGTCCATGCAGCAGTCAATGGAATTGTAAGCCAATACACATTATACTTTATGGAGTAACACACCCTTTATGTCTCTCCCTCCCTCTCTCCCTCCCTCTCTCTCCCCCTCTCCTCCAGAGGAAGTCCACTACTCAAGAGCTGATCATGGATAGGTTAGGTGGTCTGGATATTCCTCCTCCAATACCACCAAAACCAAAACCTTGAAACCAACACAAAGACATCAATCCTCCCTGTCTCCAGTAGTATAGAATGGACATACTTTAGTATAATGTATTGTGAAACGATTAACTCTATCTTGTAGTCTCTCTCTCTGTCTTTCATTATAATGTCA